CTCTCTCTCTCTCTCTCTCTGCCCTTCCCCCATGCTCACTCTCTCTCTCTCAGAATAAATAAATAAAAACTTAAAACAAAAGATGGCTGTGCAGGGAGAACCCGCAGTGCGGTCTAAAGATCAGCCACTCTGTTGGAGCAAGCAGGTCTAAAGTCTCCGCCAGAAGATTCTTCAACTGGAAGAGATCAAATTCCTTACGTGTTTGTATACCCTTAGAGCACAGGTAACACAACTAAAGGAGAATTTGGGGGGCGCAGTACACAGAAAACTAAGCAAACAAAAAGGACAAAAAAAGGATCAGTTCCAGAAAACACATAAATGGCTGGGGGGTGGGGGGGAAGACCCACAGGGCTCAACTGTGAAGATCATTTGCATAATCACGGCAGTGTAAACACCCAACAGATCCATCCGGAATTGTGATACAATGTTGGAAGCACGGCAGGCTGGGGGATGGGGGTGGGGTGGCGGTGGCCGCGGAACAGAGAGTGAGCGGTGGGAAGTCAGGGCTCGCGCTAAAACAGAAGCATGGAGAAGCGGCAGCATTTGGGTGCTATTTTTAGTCTGACATATACAGATGAGTCCAAGACAAAACATAATAACAATTTAAACACTCAATTGAACCAATGGTCTTTCGAGAACCTTGGGAGTTGTAAGACTACTGTTTTTTTCTATCAGCGGTAGAGCAGTAGGGGACTCTTTAAATAATATCAAGTAGGGGCGCCTGGGTGTAGCTCAGTTGATTGATTGAGCAGCTGACTTGGGCTCTGGTCTGGGTCTCAGGGTTGGTGAGTTCCAGCCCCGCATCTGGCTCACCGGTCAGCGTGGAGCCTGCTTTGGATCCTCTGTCCCCTTCCTTGCCCCAACCCGCTTGCACTCTCTCTCTCTCAAAAAAAAACAACAACAACAAAAAAAACCCACAACATTTTAGGTAAATAATAGATAAATGCATAACTATGATTTAAAAAAAAAAATACCGGGGCCCCTGGGTGGCTCCGTCAATTAAACATCTGACTTCGGCTCAGGTCATGATCTTGCGGTTTGTGCCCAGTCGGATTCTGTGCTGACAGCCCCGAGCCTGCTTTGGATCCCGTGTCTCCCTCTCTCCCTGCCCCTCCCCTGCTCGTGCTCTCTCTCTCTGTCTCAAAAAATATATATTAAAAAAATATGAGGGGCGCCTGGGTGGCGCAGTCGGTTGGGCGTCCGACTTCAGCCAGGTCACGATCTCGCGGTTCGGGAGTTCGAGCCCCGCGTCAGGCTCTGGGCTGATGGCTCACAGCCTGGAGCCTGTTTCCGATTTTGTGTCTCCCTCTCTCTCTGCCCCTCCCCCGTTCGTGCTCTGTCTCTCTCTGTCCCAAAAATAAACAAACGTTGAAAAAAAAAATTTAAAAAAAAATATGAATAACCTCATGGAAGGGGGCTCTTACAGGAGGGGGCTGGGAAGTCAGGAGGCTACCGCAACTTTCAAAGAGCGGTGATAGCAATGTGCAGGTTTGACAGATTTGAGAGTTGTCTTAATGATGCTTTCTCAATACTCCCTTTAAATAGCCCTCCTCCTCAGTGCCCTCCCCTCTCTCTGTTCTCCTGGCCATGGCCAGAACCCAGGGCCTTATCACCTCATACAGATCAGCCCAAACGTCTAACAGAATCACCTCGCAGGAGGCTCAAACAGTGATGAGTGGGCAGGAACCCAAAGCCAGCTGTGGCTGCAGCACAGAGCGATGCTGGAGTACAGACATCCTGCCAAGACTGGCCGAGAGAATAACATGAAAACCGTGAACACCAAGAAGCAAAGGCAAAACAAGATAGGGACAAGAGAAATTTGGGAAATGTTACGTTTCCTAGTTTATGCCCTTTTCTTCTGCATTAAACATTTTTTTAAAATGCATTTACTTATTTTGAGAGAGGGAGAGAGCGCAGAAGCAGAGAGGAGACACAGAATCCCAAGCGGCAGAGCCTGATGTGGGGCTCCAACCCACGAACGGTGAGATCATGACCGGAAATCAAGAGTTGGTTGCTTAACCCCACGGAGGCAGCCAGGTGCCCCTGCATTGAGTTTTACTTATGTATCCTTTTGTTTGAAGAAGAAGGAGGAGGAGGAG